CAAGAGAGCAAGACGCGACGTGCTTCCATTACGGCTTTTGGCCATCGATCAAAACCAGGAACCACATGCACAATAATTGACGCATCAAAATTGACGTGTCTTGGAGCAACTCTGACTGTACGGTGTGAAATTAAATTAGGGCCTTGTTTATTTTGCAAATTTTTTTAACCTGATGAATAGTACCACTTTCGTCTTATTTGACAAATATTATCTAATCGTGGACCAACTAGGCTCAAAAGATTCATCTCGTGATTTCCAACTAAACTGTGTAATTAGTTATTTTTTATCTATATTTAATACTCCATGCAAGCGGCTAAAAATTGATGTGATGGAGAGAGTGAAAAAATTTAGAATTTAGATGGCCTCTAAACAAGGGCCAGGAGAATCCGCGAAAAATGAATCAGCATATATACACTAGTGCGCACGTACAAGCATTGCATATATAGCAGAGCAGAGCATGCAGTCAAATAAAATTAAAATGACAGACAGACAGAAAGAAAGAAAGAAAGATGCATGCATGTAGACGGAGCCATCAATTCTTTCTTTCCCTTTCGATTTCTCGTCCGCTAGCAGGTGTTGGCTTGCCCCTGCTCCTGATCGGAGACTGTGCCGTGCCCGTGCCCGTGCCCGGCCCCCGCCGTGAAAAGCAAGCCGAGAAAAAGAAGACGGGCGGCGGGCCGGCGGTCGTAGGCAGCATGCACTTTGGCAACAAGGGCGGCGTTTTTAGGGAGCATGCAACACACAACCCCCAATCGACGACACGACACCAGCAGCGAGCAGAGGCATGCATGCATGCTGCGAGGTCATGACCGACCGACCGATGGAGAAGAGAGGAGAGACGCCGGCTACCACCATCTCGCATGCAACAATGCATGCTGTGCACCTACGCATGCCACTCGCGTCCACCGGCTCCGCGACAACGCAGGAACGTCGATAGATGCTAGCTGCAGGGCATGCATGATGCATGCATGGACCCGTCCTTAAACTACTGCCATCAGCCTTCCCTCCTAGTTCTAGCTGCTGCACGGCTGCCCGGCCTATCACCATTGGTACGGGTAGAGAACAGAGCTTTATTTTCGGTGGGGAATCCTTCTAGTTCCGGTTTCCCACCCGGGAGTAAGTATTCGGGACTAAAGGGAGTCCTTTAGTTCCGGGTCAGGAGCCGGGACTAAAGGAGGACCTTTAGTCTCGGTGGGTAACACCAACCGGGACTAAAGGTGCCTCTTGACATGCCACGATGGTCGATACCTTTAGTCCCGGTTGGTAATACGAACCGGGACTAAAGATTTTTTTTCCTTTTTTCTTTTCTTTTCATTTTTTTGTTTTCTTTTCAAAATAGGTTTTCGAAGTCGTATTGTACGCTGCTAATTATACATTTATACGTACGTATAGTATGTTTCGGTTCAAGCACAATGAACGTATTAAATCACACAATTCAAGCATAGAAATATATATATATATATATATATATATATATGCATGCATGCATGCATCATATATATATTTACATGCATGCATGCATATGTGTATTTTATATTATATTATTTTATGTGCATATATTATAAAAGATTGCATTACAGTTGTTGTGATATAACAAGTTCCTCTCATCCTTTAGCTTGGCTTCAATGACAGTATTGGGTCGAAGTAGAACTCGTCCTTGAAATCGATGACATGCTCATTAAAAAATCCGGCTATAGACTCTAGAATTGCTTTGATTTGGTATTGCCGTATGACCTTTTTCTCCAACCATCGAGTCTACAGGTTTGAATTAAAGGAAAATAAATCAATATATGTACATATATATATGTCTTGGTTCGGTCGATAGGATTAACAAGACCGATAGCCACCTTGATTGTGGAATTCCCCTTCGGAATGTGTAGCTCACACGATGTACAAGGTTCAGTGACGTCATCCACATGGAAGCGCAGTCCTGTGTCCCCTTAATTTGGTATCTCCGTGGAAGCGCAGCTGCTTTTCAACTGAACAGATTGGCTAATGTTGATTCCTGGCTCTGATGCCTGCTTGCTTGCACTCACTACTATTTGCACTTGCCTTCTGATTTCATCATGCATTCTCGCTTAAGGTTTTTTTCTCGCTCCTGTGCTTCACGCACCGCTTCCTCCAACCTCTGGAGCCGCTGTGCCTCTTCTTTCTTCTTTCTCTGGCGGCTTCTATAGAAAGGTCTGTCCTGACACTTGTAGAATAAACTAACCATAATCATTAAATACGATAAAATAACTCACATTGCGATACGGACACTTGTAGAAGATACGATCCTTGTTGGGACCCTCCTTCTTCACTCGGTACTCCATCACAATCTTTGTCTCATCACGACACTTGCCGCATGGAATGAGAGGGAGGCCCGGCCTAAGTCGCTTTGGAAACCCATGAGAGGCCGAGGACCCGAAAGCAGTTGACATCTACTCTCTATACTCATTTTTTAATACACTATAAATCTCCCATTTTATAAACAAATAAAATTAAGAAACTATAAAATTATCTATATCTCTAAACAATGAAGCAGTTGTCATCTACTCTCTATACTTATTTTTTAATACACTATAAATTTCTCATTTTATAAACAAATAAAATTAAGAAACTATAAAATTATCTATATCTCTATACTCATTTTTAATACATTATAGCTCAAAAACATGTTTTAATAAATAACCATCCGTACTAGTTGATCTTGCTTACGTGATCATCTCGGCGAGCATTTCTCCACCGGACGGCACCGTACTTGGTCAAGGAAGAGCTCCGATTCTACGAGGAAGGGAACACGGTCTTCCACGACCGTTGTCGCTCTCCCTCGTAGAATCAAAGCTCCTCCTTGATATCCGTTACGCTTCGGCAGAACACATGCTCGCCGAAATGAACACGGACCATAAGTTCAACTAGTAATGGATTTTCTATAATTTTCTAACTATTTTCTAAGTTTTTATTTATATATACTACGTTTGGGTACGGTGATTGACAGACTACTGCGACGATATCGGGACATGTGAATAAATAACCATCCGTACTAGTTGAACTTGCTTACGTGATCATCTCGGCAAGCATTTCTCCACCGGACGGCACCGTACTTGGTCAAGGAAGAGCTCCGATTCTACGAGGAAGGGAACACGGTCTTCCACGACCGTTGCCGCTCTTCCTCGTAGAATCAAAGCTCCTCCTTGACGTCCGTTACCGCTCAGCAGAGAACATGCTCGTCGAGATGAACACGGTCCGCAAGTTCAACTAGTACAGATTTTCTATAATTTTCTAACTATTTCCTAAGTTTATATTTATATATATACTACGTTTGGGTACGGTGATTGACATACTACTGCGACGATATCGGGACATGTGAATAAATAACCATCCGTACTAGTTGAACTTGCTTACGTGATCATCTCGACGAGCATTTCTCCACCGGACGGCACCGTACTTGACCACGGAAGAGCTCCGATTCTACGAGGAAGGGAACACGGTCTTCCACGATCGTTGCCGCTCTCCCTCGTAGAATCAAAGCTCCTCCTTGACGTCCGTTACCGCTCGGCAGAGAACATGGTCGCCGAGATGAACACGGTCCGCAAGTTCAACTAGCTACTTTAACCTTCTTTCATGTAAATATGCAAGCTTGAAGTGATTTTTAGCTCAAATTGCTTACAAATGAAAAAAAACCACAATAAAGAACCATATATATATAGTGAACAAAATGACATAAGACAATGGTGAAAAATGAGAGTATGAGATTGGTAACCTCTACAACTGAAGAATCGACGGAGGAATCAAAGAAATAGACGGAGGAACAATGGAATGGAGGGAGGGAGGAAGCAAGAACACTAGTGCAGTGAGCTTCAAAATGTGTTGAGCTCGGGCTTGGGGAGGAAGAAGGAGACGGCCGATATATAAAGGGGGGACCTTTAGTCCCGGTTGGTGGCTCCAATCGGGACTAAAGGTAACTTTCCAACCTCAGGCGCAGCCACGGCCTGGGAGTAGACCTTTACTCCCGGTTGGATCCACCAACCGGGAGTAAAAGTATACCTTTAGTCCCGGTTGGTGGCTCCAACCGGGACTAAAGGTCCCTGCCACCTCTACTTGGCGCAGTAGCCGTTGGACAGGGACTTTTAGTCCTGGTTGGAGCCACCAACCGGGACTAAAGGTATCTCTAGCCCCGGGCGCAAAAAATGCCGGGACTAGAGCCCATTTTGGTCGAGGATCAAAGGTCTGTTCTCTACTAGTGCACCAATCTTCTTTTCTCTGCTAAGCTCTCGCTCACATCAATCGATGATCTGCCTTTAAAAATCCCATCAATCTGCTTAAATTATTGCCGCGCCACACAAGTCGATCTCCCATACTACTCTCCTCCTCTCCATCTCTCTCGATCTAGAATGTCAAGGAGATCACACAAGATGGTCATATATGTTATATACTCTCTCTCTCTCTCTCTCAAATAGTCTCTAGTTGTACGTCCATTGTGAACCCATCCCATGCGTCCCTCACTCTCTCCATGCATGCAACACACACACGCGAAGGCTTCACCCGGGAATGCATGGAAGCCACAGCAGCGGTAAAATATTGGGGCATGGAAAGATTAGAGCAAGTATTATAAGGCTGAGTCAGCCGGCTAAATAGAGGACACATAAGGAAAACAGATGATTTGGTGGAGAGAGAATAGGAGAGAAAGAATGGATCGACGCTTATCTCTTCGCCCGGCTGAATCCCACCACACCGTCCGTTCGCAGCCGGGTGCGAGCGCTTTGGTCGACGCTTCGCTCCCCACCTCCTTCCCTTCTCGATCTCGTGCGGCACCCCCGACCTTCCACTCGTCCGCGCCCTTCCCTGCTCGCCCGCATGCCAAATCCCACCGCAACTCCACCAGATTCGCGCCAAAATCATTTCCTCTCCTCCCGAATCAATGCCTTGCGCGCCAAATTGAAGGACAAAAGCCCCAAATCCTCGCAAAACTCTCGCTTCCCAAACCCTAACCAGCAACCCGCTGCCGGAGCCATTGCAAGATGGATGGCAAGTCGAAGAGGACGTCTGCACCGGCGCCTATGGAGATTCCACCGCAGCAGCCTCTTCCCATCCCGCCACATGGACTCGGCACCTGGTTTCCAACACCACCTACGCAGTCCTCAACGTCCTCTGCACCATGGTGGCATGCCGGACATCAGCAACTAGGCTTGGCGGGTTCCATGCCTCAAGGCTCGTCGTGGATGCTGCCTCCCTCCATATCTTCTCAGCATGTGGCTGAGAACGATGATGAATCTGAAGTGCAGGCATGGTATGTATCCTCCATTACTCATGAATCTTTCTCAGTTACATTTAATCTCTTGCCATTGCTATGCCTAATGCACCATCCTTTGTTTATAAATTTACTGGTTTGAGCTTATATGCTATGTACTATAGTCATCTTGTATGTATTGGTATTTTTTTGTACTAGATTTTTTGCGTAACTGGTAGTATGTATTAAGTTAAGTAATATGTTCATTTGTAGTTGTGGCCCCGGTAAGTCAATGGTGACATGAGTGCTTAAAAGACTATTTTGATTTAATGCATTTTTATAGGGGACCAAATCTTTACCCTCTTGGTGGTTTCATGAGTTTTATGAATAGCACAAAAAGCCCTAGAGGCTTAGTGAGCAATGGGAGTAAATCGCAAGCAATCAATCTTATTGATGATGAAGATGATGGCAAGTGTGGTAGGACCGAAAAACGCATGCTATGGACAAAAAGGAGGATCTGAGATTGGTATGTTATTTTTCTCATTAGTTCCATCCATGAGTTGCACTAAAAACATCCCGGTAATCATCTTTTGTTAATGTTGTAGGTTAGTGCTTGGTTAAAAGTTCAAATGATCCTATCCAAATTCAACTACGGGAAAAATGATCAATATTGGAAAAGTGTTGCTGATATCTACAATAGCACCACCCCAAAAGACCGAGCAAGGCAAGTCAAGCAAATTAAAGATCACTTTCTAAGAATTAAGAAAATGGTTCAATGGTTTTGTGGTAGCTGGAAAGAGGCCAACACTCTATGGGCTAGTGGTGAATCGGATGCAGATATTGAGGCTAAGGTAATGAAATCTTATGAAGAAGAGCACAAAAAAGATGGCCCATTTACGTTTAAGCATTGCTGGGAGGTTCTTCGAAAGGAACCAAAATGGGAAGCCTATTTGGAACGCCTAGAAGACCTCGAGCCGGACAAAAGAAAGTTCTGTGAAGAGGATGATGTGGGGAAATGTTTCTCTCTAGATGATGATGCTGATGAGCGGCCAATGGGAAGCAAGCAAGCTAAGGAGCAGCGCAAGAAGAAGAAAAAGGGCCAGCCATGTATAATAGATCTTGAAGATGAGCTTAACAACTTTTTGGATGCTCAGAAAACAGCAAATGAAGGGCACAAAGAGATGTTAGAGACGCAAAGGCGTGTGTCTAGTGAGAATCTTGAAGCTCGGAAGCTTGCGCACCTTGCAGCAAAAGAGCACAAGGAGTCAGTCATTCTAGAAACATATCGAGCGCTATTGATGAAAGAGACAACAAGTATGCCTGAAGATGTGAGATCTGAGCATGTGTTGGCACCGAAGTGTTTGAGGGAGAAGCTATTTAACAAAAATGACTAAGGTACTGAAAATGTTTTGCCTGTCTTTAGTCCAGTGCTGAAAATTAGGACCTAATTACAATACAGTCAATAGTCTACAACTACAATTAAATTGCAGCTAATTACAATGCAGTCAATAGTCCACAACTACAATTAAATTGCAGCTAATTACAATGCAGTCAATAGTCCACAACTACAATTAAATTGCACCTAATTGCAATGCAGTGCCGAACACTCTCATCTAGGAAGCTCATCTATATAATCCTCCCAAACCTATCCCACTTCTACAACTCATCAGAACACTCTCATCTTCCTACTAAGTCAAAACCATGTTAGATTCATCCTCATACTCAGATGATTCCGATGAGCTAGCCCCTACCAAAATCATTGAAGAGCATATTGCTGAGCAGAGCATCCTAGACTCCTTTGCTAGGAAGCTCGCAATGAAGTTCAAGGCTGCCTTCTCGGCTGGAGTACCTCAACGCCAATATGGTTCTAGAAAGAGCATCCGGAGGGATCATGGTGGTGCTCACGAGCGTCTTGTAGAGGACTACTTTGCTACAGAACCACTCTACCCCGAGAGTATGTTCCATACTAGATTCCGTATGAATAGGCGTCTCTTCCTACGCATTGTGGATGCCCTTGGTCATAGGTCTCCCTATTTTACTTATAGGGCAGATTGTGCTGGTCGAATAGGGCTATCACCACTGCAGAAGTGTACAACAGCCATGCGCATGCTGGCTTATGGCAGTCCCGCAGATGCTCTTGATGAGTACTTAAAGATTGGGAAGTCCACTGCATTAGTGTGCTTGGACAAGTTTGCACGAGGGGTGATTGAGGTGTTTGGTGGCGAGTACATGCGACGCCCCACATGTGAGGATGTTGAGCGTATACTACAGGTTAACGAGTCTCGTGATTTCCCTAGAATGCTAGGTAGCATAGATTGCATGCACTGGCGTTGGGAGAAGTGTCCTTTAGCATGGAGGGGGCAATTCACCCGTGGCGATTATGGAGTTCCAACTATAGTGCTAGAAGTTTTGCTTGCTTCCCAGGACCTTCATATTTGGCATGCTTTCTTTGGAGTTCTTTGGATCAAATAATGACCTAAATGTGCTCAACTAGTCCCCACTTTTTTTTGATGCCTTAAAAGGAGAGGCCCTCAAGTTCGGTTTTAGGTCAATGGTAATGAATATAGCACTCGGTTATTACCTTGTCGATGGTATATACCGAGAATGGGCAGCCTTCATGAAAAGTATAACACTTCCACAAATAGAGAAGCATAAGTTATTTTTGAGCATCAAGAAGGGGCAAGGAAAGATGTGGAGCGTGCTTTTGGGGTACTGCAGTCCCGTTTTTCCATTGTTCGTAGGCCCGCACGTCTATGGAAGAGAAAGAGTGTTGGAAGGATCATGCTAGCTTGTGTGATCCTCCACAATATGATAGTGGAAGATGAAAGAGAGAATGCTAAGATTCATATTGACTTGAATGAGAATCCAAGTGCATCGTTTGCTCTACCTCCTGAAGTGAACACTAGTAGTAATCTACGCTTTGCTGATGTGATGCGTAGAAAAGATGCTATCCGTAATCGTCCACAAAGATATCCAACTTAAAGATGATCTGATCGAGCACATTTGGCGTAAGTTTGGAAATAGCCATCATAACTAGTCATGGTAGAATTTTGAAATCTGCATGTTTACATTATTTTTTCCCTTCACTTTGTGAGAACTAACATGATGTCTTACATATATCTTTTCAGAGAATCGAGATTTGGACATGGCTTGCTTTGATCTCGCAGATGCTACTTGCGGTATCTAACTTTTTCAAATAGAAACTTCTATATCTAATTTGCGAGGGCCATTTGTTCTAATTTTTGCACTATTATATGTTTGCGGTGTCATGTCTTTTGATGAAAATGGGTTGACTGCTCCTCCCCCTACCGAAGGCCAACTATCAACTCTGTCTTCATGAATAAATAATGGCATGTGTGCCAAATAACTTTAGTATTGGTTGAAGTTGTTGCTTTTCTATAATCTAGACTATGTTATTTTAAGTGACGTGTCATGGTGCTATGCCACTGTATCGTTAGTGAATTGTTGCTTAAAATTTGTCATTTATCTAGTATTATTTCTTTTATTTAAGTACCTACTTTTGGTTCATCTCAGAATATGTTGTTCTCAGAATATATTGTTTGGTAATGACATGGATAAACATATATGGTTTCTACATGATGAATTGAGCATGCATGTATGGCCACAAAGATGTAGGCCACATCAGATTGAATGCACATGACAACATTAAATCTTCACTGCAGTTAATTAAACAGCCTCTTATTATACTAGCAGGCTGACAGCTTGTTCGCTTGCTCGTAAACGATCGTAAATTTCCAGCCGAGAACAGTATTTTTCTCTCACACCAAACCAGCCAACAGTAAATAATCCACGATATGATACGGCCTCCCGAACAGGCTGTGAATAGCCGGCTGTAAGTGACATGGCCTTTGCTTTAGGCCTTCAGCCGGCTAAATCATTGTCCTTGCTCTTAGGTGCGTACGGTCAGGATCGTAGCAGGGAATTATTAGCAGTACATGCATATGTATATACTATGTTGCATGTTATGGGCTACTCTACTTTTGGCTATCCAGGATAAATTAAAGCAGTTCAACACTGTGTGTGTATATATATATATATATATATATATATATATATATATATATATATATATATAATATGTCGCATCCCATGTATAATATATCCGGCAGTCCCGTTCCACAACAAACTAGAGATCGTCACAAGACCCCAACTGATCACTTTGGATGATAAGTTAATTTAGGGCCAGATTAGATAAGGCTCAGTTACCAAGCTTCTAGTTCTAGGTTAACTACACATAAATTAGAAAACTCAACTCACCACTACATGTTTGGAGCAAGGATACTCTTTACTACACAAAAGATAAATGAAACTAGCTAGCTAGAAAATAATCAAGAAAATATGAGAGGATTGGCATGTTTATTATGGGATTCCTACAAATCCTCCATGAAATCCCGAGTTTCAAAACATACTTCTTCAGGCCACAATCCAGTGATCCACAACTAAATAGTAACGGAAAATTCCTTTTAGTATTTTAGAAGCAGAGTATGCTATTACCATCAAACATCTCTATATATAAAATTATTACTCATTCGTCGCTAAAAGGAACTGCAAAAAATCTCAAGTCAACAATGACTTTTACAACAGCTCCAGGGAATCAACAGCCACAAACAAACGTTCAGATTACTCATTCGTCGCAAAAAAAAAAAAAGGAACTCCAAAAATTCTCAACTCAATAATGACATTTACAATAGCTCCAGGGAAACAACAACCACAAACAAAGATTTGTCTTTTTCTTCTTGTTTCACATGGTAGAAATATTATTCTTAAAGACATTTTTTGGATGATTGATAATAGCAAAGACAATATCAGCATAATGATTTATTGACTTCTTTTTATATCCATTTATATAACATATTTAAAAATTCTTAGGAGCCATGGAGCACACTATATATTTTCTTAGCCAACTAGATTTTCAGAGTGATTTTTTAATGGCAAATAGTTTTCTACATTGTACAGATTTTTTCTCAAATAATCAAACGTGTTTTATTCTAATTCAAGTAATTCATGAGACATATTTACTAAGTAACCCACAATTTTCCTTTTTGTTAGGCATTTTTGGCTATCTATTCTTTTTTAATTTGTTTTCACCCTCAATATTGTTCACATTAGACTACAAAATCCTAGGCCACTTGAAGAAAAAAAATATATCAAAAGAAGAATATAATCCTCGACCATTTGAGAAAATGGTCGGTACTTAAATATTGTGTAGCGTCATGACAGTTGGCAGGCTAGACGAGAAAAACGCTTATGAGCAGATATCCGTTGTTAAATCCTAAAATAAATCTAACAAAATACAAGCATATGCATCTCGGGTACTTGAACATGTGTGGATAGGTTCCACCACAAGAAATATAACTATAATTATTAGCATCGATAATCCAATTATAATAACCCGACTCTAATTCAAACAGGCCCTTTCTTATTTTCCCAAAATGCGGCAACCAACGAAGACTAGTTTTCTCTTCTGGTAGTGAAGCATTTGTAACGAATATCTCAATTACTGTCCGAAGTATCCGATGACAGAGGTCTTTGACGGTGCATTGGCTGTGTTTACCTGGCCGTCAAAGAACATCAGATCGATCAACTTTCCTGAATTAACCAAAAGTTCAAACTTCAAAGCAGAACGCCGGCTCAGCGTTACTTGAATGCACTGTACTACACGGCGTGCAATCAGCGCTCCCATTCAGATCGATCGACGCAGCAGTCAAAGACCCAAAGAAGTACTTAACGTTCAACGCAGACTTTCTGCTCCCAGACTCTCCAACACGTTCACACAGCCAAACGAAGACAATGGCTCATGGAGTGCACAGTCCCACACCTGAAAGCGCTGCCGTGCATGGCACAGTTGCTATGAACCCTACATGCAACATAGTCCACAGTCCACAGTGCACATATACAGCTCTAACGACGCCATTATAGACCAGGAAAGGCTCGCCCGTTTGGATGGAGAGAGAGGGAGTAGTAGCGAGCTGCGAGCAGCAGGGCATGGCATGCAGACCTCTCCCCTGCCCTGCTGCTGCAGCAAAGCACAAGGGAAAGAGAGGAGGGGCGCAGGAAAAAGGTGACAGAGACAAACAGAGGCGCAATCATGGCCACCCCGCACAACGGCGCACGGCGATTCCCACCCCCAGGAACGGAACAAGCGCAAGCGTCCACAGCCCCATTTCCTTGGACTCTCCTGTCCCACGCCCCTTATTCTCTCACCTGCACGCCTCCCACTTCCTTTCTCGGGCGACGTGACATTCCCCTCCCTCCTCCCAGATTCTCTCTCATACCAGCAGTGTTCCTTGTTTTTTCAATCAGCCCATAAACATACTACAGGCGTAGCATCACATAATGGAAGATGAAAGAATTGGCGCAACTTGCAAGAAGACCACAAGACGACGCCCTGCGCCGTGACAAAACTTTGGGGCTTATAAATACGCACATGCCCAAGACCACCCTTCAAGCAGCAAAACCCCACACACCGAGCGAAGTAGACAGGCACTGATACACACGAACACGTAACTGAGACTCGGAGGAGTTTGTTCCTGAGCTGAGCTCGCTCCCCTCTCCTCAGTAATCATGGGGGTGCAGAGCAGCGAAGGCCAGGTGATATTCTCCTCCATCGCCCTGCTGCGGCAGAGGTTCAGGGAGCTGGAGAGGATCCGGGAGAAGCGGGAGGAGAGGCTTCTCCACGTGCTCGCCCCCCGCCCTGCGGCCACCACCTCCCCGAGGGAGATGCCCGTGAAGTGGTTCTTCCACCCGGAGCTGCTCTACCCGTGCAGGCCGCTGCGTGACACCACTGCCGCTGTCGCCGCCGCCTCCTTATTCCCGGCCGTGCCAACCACTGTCTGTGAATGCAAAAGCTTCCAGCTCCACGGCGATAGTAACCCCATCGCGGTGGAGCTGTGGCCCAGTAAGACCTACAACTACAAACATGTCTCTGGTGAAGTCGACGTCGACACCTCGCTGCACCTCTAGACTGCTACTGCTACTCCTGCTACTGAAAAATGTTGCAATGCCTTAAACTGCTGTTAACCTCTTGGTGTTGCTCTCGCAGTTTTTTTGGTAGCCTACTACTATGTTCTTCTCTTCTTCTGTTGTAACAAGGGGTATTAGGAGGGTTGACGGCGTGCTGTAATTATTACCACTAGTACGATGGTCTTGGAGTTCCTTTATTGTCACCTCTTGGCACTAGAACTGCTTGCATCTTCCAACAAAGCACTGTTATCATCCGAGTACGAGAGTACCTCTGCAGGGCAGCCATTCTCTGTTATATCTGGATACTCATCACCGGAGGAATCATCAGAGCCCTTCTTCTTCCGTTTGACGATCTTCTTGGAGATCAGGCGGTTCACACCCTTGTTGTCAACACCAACACATTCACTGCTTATTGGCTTAAATAGGACTTTGCCCACCTTCCTTGCATTAGCTTCCACTATCTGTGAGCAAGAGAGGCCAGGTAAAGGTAGTAAAAACAACTACAGAAGATTATTTAATTCTGCAACAAAGAATGAAATTTTGGGTGAATTGTGAAACAGAAACTATGCTTCTGCTGGGTTTCAACTCTAGCCTACCCCAACTTGTTTGAGACTTAAAGGCTTTGTTGTTGTTGTTGTTGTTGTGAAACAGAAACTATGGATTTCTAGGGCTGCAGCAATTCAATAAAGTGTAACGAAGACTTCGGGAAAATGGGAGTTGCACCACCTAATAAAGGTCGTGTACCAATACCAACACAATTTCACTGAAATAACCTTATAACCCACATGAGTTCTGAATTGACAATTGAGTAGTAGCTTTTCTTATCTATTAGTTTTTGTATACTTTCTTTTTCTAGCTTCAAATAAAAAAAAGCAAGTACAAATGGAGAGTAGTATTAGCACCACATAAGTGGAGTGTGGACATGTTACAGCAACCTTCTGAGTATTGTTGTCTTTTTATATGCACAAACAAGCATGTAGAGGTTGTCGTGGATAGTTGTTTTTATTAGTTGGTTCTTACTTCTTATAGTATGATAAGACCAAAAGCATCTCGAAATTTATATAGTACAAAATATCCTATAAAACGATCTAAGAACCAAATGCCCTGTATGGAAAATTGATTCTAATGAGAGTTATTTAACAAAAAAAGGTTTCATGGTATTGCATCAACAAAAAAAATTGAAGCTTTTAGTGGTGTCTTTCAGCTTTCAAGTAATGACAAGGAAAATTCATAATAGTTATCTATACTAGTAAGTTCTTAGAGGGAGATTTCTAGTGATGACAAGATAATCGTATAATAATAATTGACCTGGTACTAGAACTCTTGAGCAAACAGAGTACACAAGGAGTTGTAGCAATTACCTCAAGTTCATAAGCTTGAGTTTTTTCTCTATCATCTTGGCGATCAGAACCTTCCTCCTGATATTCACCGTTTTCTTCTCTGTAATCCTTTTCAAGAATCACAAGCATTTTCCCACCTTCTTCTGGAATATAGCCAAAAGATGCACAGACAAAACCTGACACCGTCTCATACGGATGCCCCTGCCAAAAGATATTGTCCAAGTGTCTCAAGATATCAGCCAATCTACGAGAAACATGACAGAAATACACAGCACCATATAATGATGACTGCCAAGGGCATATCTCACAAACAGAACATTTGTGAATATTTTGTTGACCTAAATATTAAATGTCCAGTTTCCACCAAAAAATAGATATAATAACGGCATATCTGTATAGATTCTGCAAATCAGGCATCTCTAAATGATGGAACTCACATTTCGATGATCCTAATACAGTGTCCATTCCAACATATACACATGTCCAAGGGAATGCATATCAACTGAAGAGAAAGCTAAGATCAAATGAGAAACAATACCTCTGGTATTTTGATACCAAGCTCTTCAGATAGGTGATCTATCGATGTATTTGCGTCAACATCAAATGTTCCATCTCCCCGCCTTACTATATAGCCTGTTTTCTTCTGAATTTCCTCCTGAAAGGGTGAAAAACAGAGTAGCAGAAGGAATTGAGAGGCTGCCTAAGCAAATGACAAATAGCAACTAGCTTGTTACATGGAAAAACCCTTTGTTTTGACTTAGGATACAGAAAATAGGAGTGAAGCAGCTGCTTCCAGAACTTGGAGAAGCACTGAGGCAGGAGATCTAATCTCTCCAGTTTTCAAAACCAAGCTAATGGAACTTCAGTTGGAGTTAGCCAGATAATCTTCAAGAGTCCTGTTAACTTCCACCATACTATATGTCTAACTATAGATTCAGGACACTGGATAGTTCTCAGCTGATCTGGTTCTAGGCTTCTCCACTTCTGGCTTATGAACCCTGTTTGTGTTATGGCCATGCCCACAATAATTCCAAATTCCAAGAAAATGCGATCACATAAATACCCAAAGCACACAAGTTGATAAACAAACACAAAACTCTTTGGAAGTTCACAAATAAAACAGTCCTCACTGAATGTCTCTTTTCAGTTTTTGTTCTGATTTGAGACACCCTGAAACAAGATTGTTGGCATTGATATTTGTTTAAAAAATACAAATATAATTTAAGAATACATTCCTACAAGGATCCAGCATACTAAGAATGCAATAATCTGTATTTTTAGTGTAAATAACTATATTAGTGTTTTCACCCTGGTTTTGCAGTGGCAAAGTTGACCTAAATATATTGGTAATTGCTAAATGACTTACCTTAGGCTTGTTATGTACCACAGGAAATTGGTTTAGGGCCTCATTGGAATGCAAAATTCTTCTAGAAACGCAGGAATAAGAGAAACGTAGGAACAAACTGCCCCAAGGAATTATATAGGAATTTCACAGGAATTGGTTCATTTTTCACAGGAAAAAAGCAGGAACAGGAAAAAAAATCCAGCATTCCAAAGGGGTCCTGAATGTTGGGATGGAGCGCAAGAAAAACACAGGAAATCGGGGAGAGAGTGACACAAAGGAAACTTTCCATGAGGTTCAACCTCTTGGTAAAATTCCTCCAAAATTCCTTCGAAACAAGCCATTCCATAGGAATTTCATAGCATTTGTAAGAATCCAACCCTTTGTTCCAAAGAGGTTCACAGGAAATTTTTCTATAGGATCTCTAGAATTCCTCCATTTTTCCTTTGTTCCAAAGGGGGCCTATTTCTTTTACCCTTTCTCCTGCGCGTATAAAAAGTGGCAGAGACGACACCTAAAAGATGTCCAATAGCAAAATATGACCATATGATTTGCCTGTCTTTTTTGGCATGGCTCAGTATGTTTGGCCCACTAAATTTCCTAAGTTCAAATGCTAGCATATCATTATTTATTACCAAGATATGAAAAGTCAGTTCTGTAATAAGAACGATAGTTACAAGGCAAAAAGGGAATAATAAGCCAAAAGAAAGGGAGAAATAATTTTGAAAAGGAAATGGAAAATAATAGTATGCATATGTATGGCACTGAACACCCACTTGCGATGAAATAAAAAATTCCAGAAATAATCACCTTGGAATCATTCTCGTCAAAGATTTCACCAACTATTTCTTCCACTACATCTTCTAGTGTTACAATCTGCATTTTTTTTTGCCAAAAGTCAGAGAGTAATTCCCAATGTCCCATGCAGTGATAAACATATGAAATTACGAACTGTTCTGATAAACATTTTCTGAACACAACAGGACTTAGTTGCTGCAAGAAATGGATAGATAACCCTACATGAAAGGGTAATTGCTCGAAGGCTGTACTTGCCAGGGGTATGTGTAAGACAAAGGAAGCTCATGGGTAGTAGCTTTGTCCAATCATTTGTAATTTTTACCAATGAGCATCAGTAATGAGAAAAACAGCTTAAAGAATTATCCTTTCAGCAGCAAACATAATCAATTCATTGCTCATCAACTACTTCTGAAAACAGAAACTGTTGAACAAACTGTGAGCATAACTACTTCCTAAGAAACAATCTCTAAACTTGTGGAAAGTAATAATCTCTGCTGCATGGAGCATAACTAATCTCTATGTATGGGGTATATCTTAAAAGGAAACAAACCATGAACAACAGGGACTGGTACTGCAACAGATGAAAAGTGCCCCATTGCTGCAGTTACGTAAGCTGTGCAGCAAGATCACTTGAAGCATCACATCACAAGCTTGTGCTAAAAACATGACCATTGTGGAACAAAAGCCAGTAGTGATGCCAATAAATGGCCATCAAAATGTCACCATGTACTGACTAGCATTCATCAATGATTAGCCAAACTAACTAGCATGCTTGGAAGTTACAGCTAAAAATTGATTGGAGTAAACAATGTTGAACCTCATTGTGTGCCATAAGTCAAAATGGTCTCAATCAAGCAACTAGCCTTGGATGAAATGCATAACTAGAATCATTAAGTATAAAAAATGGGTTTCATAGGGACATACACCAATAGTTCCACCATATTCATTGAGGACCACTGCCATATGAACCTGCCTGATCCGGAACTCTCTTAATAGGTTCCAAACAGACATTGAATCTGCCAGATGAAACATATCATATCATATGTTACATCCATGATGCATAGATGGGAGAAAACATGTGGCAGAAATGATTAATTGTTGTGGAAAAACATCCAACCCTATAACTACTGACAGATGCCTTCTTTTAGTTCATCATGATACTTGTATCCAACAATGTTACTAAAAATTACCTGGAACAAAGTATGTAGGCATATGTGCGATTTTCTTAACAGTGATTTCACTCAACTTCTCAACCTTCAAATGAAAAATACGCCTTTTACTTTCCCATTAGAGAAGCATCATGTAGAGCAAATAAGACTCACTGTGATTAAGTTTTACATTAAATGGTAAACAAGAGACGTACCTCTTCAACATATTCAAGCATGTCCATTGCATATGCAATTCCAACAATATTATCTATGCGCTCCTCAAATACAGGAACTCTGGAAATAATAAACAGCAGCAGATGTCAGCGATAAGACTTGAAAATACACGCGACAATAATAGTTGACAATACCTAGAGTACTGATGAGTTTCCCACAACTTTTTGAAATCAATAAGTGTTGCAATAGCATCAATTGCAACTACGTCCACCAAAGGCGTCATTACTTCCCTCACCTGTGTATCTTTAATTTCCAGGACATTCTCGATCATATCCTGTTAAAAGACTCAGGTGTTGACTTTAGCTGATCAAGTAGAAAAGTGTCCTGCACAAGCAGGCACGGACTAGGAATTCATAATAGTGTAACACAGCTATAGGTTCTAGGGCCTAGAATCTAGGCACATAAATAACTATATGGTTCTTTTTCTTTCTTTTTCATTTTCTTTTGTATATGTGTGAGTGGGCTATGCTATCACAAAACTACAGATTTAAGAAGTTTTATCACAGAATTATAGATTTAGTGTGTCCTTGTTTTTGAAAAACTAAAACTACACATTTAGTATTTCTATGCATTGCGAAAGTACTGATTTCATCAGCTAAAATCTGTAATTTGTGACAAATTGACACGGTAAATCTGTAGTTTTAGATAGTTTCAACAATCTATCAGTACTTATGTATTTCCATGTTACAGTCTGACCTATCCACTTAACCCAATTCTTACGATGATTCTGAGGGAAAACTATGCAGAATGAATACCTGTGATCGAGAATAATGAATTCGAAAGTTGCCTGCAGGGGCAACAAATGGGATCGCTTCCTAAAGATCAATGGGATTGCTATGGAAAGGTTCTGCAAAATACCTAAAGGATAACAGTAGCCAAAGTGTGCTAATAAACTATCAAGAGGCAAAATCCTAGTCTGCAACAGTATAATCTAACTCAAACCTTTGGGGCCACACTGCTTGTCAAATTCTGGATATATGTGATGAGATGGTGTACAAACATTAAATTAGCAGTTAAAATCATGCAAAAATGTTAGCTACTATTTTCCTGAAATTTCGTTAGTTCACTCTTTATTTATGGAAGTATTCAGCTTTCGATATGATATAAAAATTGTAAGTAAAGGCTTGCGTAGATTGCACAGGATAACAAAATCTTGCTGTGAGGTACACAGAAACATAAAGAATAAAGAAGGAAATGTGCAGCACAATATATGGGCATCTCCATATACTAGATTGTCTAACCTGTTCATCTTCTGCAATTGCACCACTCAACTCTGCTCCTCGTAACATTAACTTCAGTTCATCTTCAGTAACATATGGTTCACTGAGGAAAGAAGTGTATATGATGCATAAGATTCAGAAGTGGATCTCCAGAAATGTAAACCGACCATTGTCACATATTGAGATTTTGTCAAGACTTTAAATATGAAAAAGAAAAACTAAATCTTATCTATATAGGAATCTCAATTGTATACTGGTTAAACTATACAAATGTAGTAAACTAACAGACATAGCAAATCAACGTACTTGCGTACTGGATTTTGTAAAAAATGTAAAAAATAACATACAAATGTGTATTGGATTACAATATCAGATACTAAATTCAATTTAAACTAAATTATACAGAAAGCAATCAATAAGTTTCTAGCAAATTCAAACTAGAATTAGATCCTTCATGAACAATAACAGATGATACGCAATTCTTGGAATAGTGTCATATGGTCATCTATTGATTAAAAATGTAGTCACTACACTATTTTACTAATTATAGAAATTTTAGAAAGTATAACTAGCACCCAATAAACTAGACTCAACACATACAAAAAAGTAATCTAATCTAGTCCATGTTGTACCATCTCATTTGTACTTGAATTCTAGTACTATACAAGCTTAATCCATTTTTTAAAAAGAAAACAGGTGAATATTTTATTTGGCAGAAAATCAATCAGTGTGCTTCCCTGGTTATTTTCTTTCTCGAATGACGCGAAGAGAGCTGCATGCCATTTCATCAAGAAAAAGATACAGACAGACGAAGCTAGAGTTGCCCACCGGAGCAGAACCCACGCACACCTAGAAACTCAATCCTTGTGCTTCCCTGGTTATATCCACTACGCAGAGCAAGCCATATGCTCTTAAAAAAAGGGTTTTGTGTGGTTCTTGTAGCTTGAATTAATTTATTGTGAATTTCTTGTTTGTGTATCCTTCTTGAAAGCATATCATGACTAATGGGGGATATAATCTATGACTAACATGAGCTTATTGAGTTGGAATATTTTCGAAGCAATTTATCTTTTAGTTCATCAAGAACTAGAGTATTATGCATACTCTTACAGTCTTACCTTCTCCCTTTCAGGCCTAGAATCTTTAGCATTCCCATAGACAGAAAAGTAACAATCCGCCCAACTGGATAGAGGATCAGCGAAAGCCATGCGACCGGTCTGATATATCGCAACAAATGCAGTGTTCAGTACTCAAAATAAACGTGTTTGAAACTAAGTTATACTTGATATCTCTCACCTTACCACAAACCTAGCGACCTCAGTGGCATTATGGACTGCAACACTTTTGGGAGTGATTTCTGTAAGAAGTAAGATGGCAACCTAAAAAATGGTGCTCCATAGTTAGATTCAAGAACACTTTCACAAGAGCAGAAGGCCAGTATGAGACAGGAGACATACTGTCATGACACCTGTTGCTGCACTAACACCTGCTTCACCAAACATTGCTGTTGCTGCCTCGGTAACAATTGCTGTTGCGCCAATGTTGACTACACTATTTCATACAAATTATGCCCGAGATTAGGGTTTAGGGTTAGTAAAACAAAATTGCAATAAGTGATGCACAACTTAGAAATGCCATGGATTACGTTGTGCCAATGAGAATAGTTGTCAGGAAACGAGTGACGTCATTTCGGAGCATTTTGAAAACACCATTCTCAGGTTCCTTCTCAGCTAGTTCACGAACCTAATGCAAAGGAAAAAAGAAAACAGCAAAGTCTCAGCATATAGATATTCGCTCTCAGCATACAGTCAGTTACTAGAAGAAAAGGGTACCACTATGAACCAAGGTTTCAAAACACTGATCTAAAAATGCCCTAGGTGGGTAGAAGGGGGTGATGCCTCAATGCCTGAATAGAGAGGCTAGCTAGCTATTGGGCACTAGGCAGATCACTAGAAAATTAGGCCTTGATGTGGCAATTTCCAAACAATGTTAGAAAAATAAACAAATGCAAAGGGGGAAAAGGTATGCAACCTATTACACAATACAATGTTGCTATTTCTATGATTCTTGCTAGTTTTTGAACATTAAGCATGATTCAATTGAAATTTTTCCCATGAATCAAACTTCAATCCCATGTGTGCTGTTATGGAAAGACTCTGGCACCAACCTCTAATACTTTAGCCATTTCAATATGCTAATATGTGTGCAAATGCTTGAACCCACAATGATAAGTGTCAGTGAACTTGAATCCTTAGGCTCAATTCTGGAGGAAAAAATGCACTAAACCTAGGGCTTCATTATTCCTGTGCTTGCAAATAAACCTCTACTAAAAATAAAATGCAAGTTCAACATGTGAATAACCGAATCCAGCCATCAATTTACATTGATCACCTTGTTGTAGTCTTTGAAGAATTAGAATTGAATTTAAATGTTGATAAACATGAACAAGGAGGCAGGACTCCTTTAATGATAGTTACAAGAGCACCAATGTTGGGATCCTGTTCAAAGCTATAAATATTCTGAACCAGAAATACCTATCCAGTTGATGAGATTAGGTGTGAAGGGAGATTATATATAAAGTCAGTAAGACCGATAATCCAATACCAGTGTCATTAGTTCCAGTTTCAAAATAATAAACACTTTCCTTGCATAGATTCCCTGCCTACTTCTCCTACAGATCACTAGCACAGCATGTCACTAAAGCGCATGTGCACACTGATCATTATATCTGAAGCCCCTCGCTGTTGTCAGCTTGTCAATCAGTGATGCCTGCTGCTCAGCCCTCTATCCTACAAAAAAAAAAAAAGGAAGGAGCAATAATGCTTTCCCCATGTCTTTCAGCACAACTCCCAGCAGTGACATCGCTTCTCAAATACAAACTTGTGCTGTGGATTACGTCATCACCAAGCGAGACAAAATTATCACATCACTGCTGAAGCAGGATGCGCTTGACAACCACCACATCCTCGACCCACACATGCCACCACCCAACCCAACAGCCTAAGCTAGTGCGTATCCGTTTGCTTTGTTCATACAAATACTCATTATCCTAACTGGATTGCATAATCACCCATTTAGAATGGGTATAGTAGTTGATACAAGGTACCCATAAGACACTCACCCCATCTCTATTGGTTGCAGCATCCCCTCTTAGCAGCAACACTACACCAATACCAATCTGCTCATCTAAGTATCCAAAATCTCCCAATATCCTACCTCGTAGCTCAGTGAACCAAACTGATTGCAAAACTGGCAGCGTGGTTCATTTCGTGTCTGCACAGCAATTACTATGGCAACAACAGGAGTGTAAGAAAATGGGTCTCCGGAGACTTGCTGCACGCACCTTCCAAGGCCAAAGCGTCGTGATAGAAGTTTCTGCCATGGAGAAGAAGGCAGAGAGGCCGAGCAGCACGGCCAGAACCAGTCCCTGCTCCCTGAGCAGCTGCAGAACCTGCAGCACCCTGGGCCAGCCCCCGCGCAGCGCCATCCCTCCAATCCCCGCGGCAGCCTCCACCGCCCCCGGCGCCCCGGACCCCGCCCCCACAGCCATCGCCCGGCGGCACCACGCCGCCGCGAGCGCCCCGCACGCCACCGCCACAGCTACTCTCCTCACGGCTGCGGCCGCCCCTCCCACCCAGCCATCATCCTCCACCTGCGGTGGGGGAGCAACCGTCATCGACACGGGCAGCGCGAGGGCGGAGGCGGAGACGGGGGCCAGAGGGCGGGGGCTCGCGCTGGCGCGGCATCGGGAGAGCGGTGTGGACGGGGACGATGCCGCGCGGTGGAAGGGGGGCTTGGCGGGGGCGCGGAGGGACTGGAACTGCAACCGCGGGAGCCTGCCGCTGCCCAGCAGCAGCGAGGTCGCGGAAGTGTACGGCGCGGCGGGCATGGCGCTCGTCGAAGGCCGGAGTGGCGGCGGGGTTAGGCGAGGAGGGCGGTGGGAGAGCGGGTAGGTGGTTGCACGAGGGGAGGAAGAAGAGGAAGGGGATGATACCACCACCATGGGAAGATGGAGGTGGGGCGGCCGGTGCGCGCACGGGCAGCAGGCAGCAGCGCCAAGCCGAGCCAACTGCGCCAATGGGCCCCACCAGCTGCTCTCCACGAATCAACGCCCACTCTGAACCAGATATCGCCGCCCGTCGGTCGCCACCACGTCCAAATTCCAACTCCAAGTGCCTTAGTTCTCAAAATTTTACAAAATTTTTCAAGATTTTTTATCACATTGAATTTTTTGTCGCATGCATCAAGTATTAAATATAAATAAAAAATAAAACTAATTACACAGTTTAGACAAAATTCACGAGGCAAATCTTTTAAGCCTAATTGATTATAATTGGACACTAATTATCAAATAACAACGAAAATGCTATAATACCATTTCCAAAAAAAAATTGCCAACTAAACCAGACCCAACACCAGAAATTAGAATTTGAAGAGAATGGGGTCAGGTTTTGGGCCAGCTGCTTCAGTGGGCTTCGACCCTATTTAAAATGGTTTTATTGGGCTGTTTAACTTAAAGGAAAAATCCACGTTACCTTCCTCAATTTTCACGAAAGTCTGTTTTCCCCAATGAACTCTAAAACCGGGCAAAATAGCTCCTTAACTTTTAAAGCTATTCATCTTATCTCCCTGACCCGGTTATAAGCGGTTTTGAAGGCGGTTTTGTCTTTTTTTTTTATTTATTTCGACTGAATCTTTAAAAAATTAAAGTAGTTCATAGAAAAATCATAAAATAGAAAATCCAATGAACATATAATATGGTATGTGTCGGGTATCGATATTAGGGGTACCCAAAGCAAGGAAGTTAGTGCCCACGCTGACTTCCCCGGATGGCTCGAGACGTATTAAAAGGTCTCGCCCGACTCCTTGGGTGCGGGCTCCGTCTCGTCTGACACAAAGGACGCGGGTTCCGTCTCGCCCGACCTCTTGGGTGCGGGCTCCGTCTCGTCCGACCCTAAGGATGCGGTTTCCATCTCGCTCAAGGTCGTGGGCTCCGTCTCATCCGACCTCGAGGACGCGGGTCCCGTCTCGTTCGACGGGGACCCATACCGCCGGCATCTACTCCAGATCCAACTATATGGGTCTGGGTCAAAACTCTGACGCCATAGAAGAGGTGCACACCTCGATGTAACATATGGCCATGACGGACTATACTTGGGGATTCACATCAAGAATAGTATCGGGTGTGCCGGTGCTGTTCTGCATAATCCTTGTACGGACGCTGACAGGCTCGTTAGTTCACCACGATGTCCATTGGGACGGAGTGGAACGCTATGAGCGGCAGATGACTCCTGTGCATGGCGCTAGTGACGAACAAGGCCGCGATATGGAGCTGTCCTTATTGACATCTACAGGATCAGCGGGACTGCATGGAGGAGAAGAAGGACCCGACAACTCTAGAAGAATTATTCTCTCTCCGTTCTCTTTTTCTTCCTCTATAACCCATGCTTTCCCTTCGTCTATAAAAGGGGAAGCAAGACACCCATGAAAAAGGAATCTTGACATAAAAGCACGACACAAGCACATGGCTGAGCGGCAAGCGAGCTCTTAGTACCGTTCACTCCTTCCACTAGAGACTTGGGATCCTCTCCCTCTCTCACCTGTTTGTAACCCATACTGCAAATCAAGTACCGGTAACCCGAGCAACAGCAAACTGGACGTAGGGACGTTTTGCTCGAACTAGTATAAATCCTTGTGTCCTCCGAGCACACTATCTGAGCCAGACGCGTAAAAACAAATTTACTCATCGGTGGTCCAAAAACACCGACAGTATGCTTTAGTACAAAGTTTTTGTTGTAGCTTTAGATCTATACTTTTCTGTAATTAAATGGAATAATTCATAGCTACAGTTTCTATGATCTAATTGTGGTAAAATTTTTATGGTGGGATAATTATTGTATGCTTAAACTGTAGTAAAAATTTCATACTCATTGGATCATGTATAACTTAGTTATATATTTTATTTAGGTTTATGCTTGTTAAATATAAATAAATCTATAACTAAGCTATACACGATCCAATGAGTATAAAATTTTTACTACAGTTCAATTATACCATAACTAGCTCACCATAAAAATTGGATTTTTTATTTTACTAATTTTCTAGGATTTACTATGATTCTTTAAAGATTTAACCGAAATAAATAAAAAAGAAAAAGACAAAATCGACTTTAAAATTGCTTATAACAGGGACATGGAGGTAAAATGAATGGTTTTAAAAGTTGAGAAAGGTATTTTACTCAGTTTTAGAGTTCAAGGAAAAACAAACTTTCATAAAAGTTGAAAGAGGTAACGTGGATTTTTTTCTAACTTAAAAGCTAAGTTCGAAATGGACCACGACTACTCTAATTATGACGGTAGTAGCAGCGGCCTTTCTTCAGTTGGCACGGGTAGCCCTTGTAAGTCACAGTTGGTAGGACCGCCGAGGGGCAGGCCCCAACTCACCATGTCCCAGCGGCCCAGGATTAGGCATCGCGCACGACCAAACGCCTACCATCTCCAGTAACTTTTTTTTTATAAAAAAGTATATTTTACCTCTGAACTACGCTCAAAGTTTAGTTTTCCTCCCTAAATTCAAAAACCAGGTAAACCATCTCCTTCAACTTATAAAACTATTTATTTTACCTTCAGACCCGGTTATAGGTGGTTTTCAAAGGCGGTTTTGTTTTTTCTTTTTTATTTATTTTGGCTGAATATTTAAAAATCATAGTAAATCACAGGAAAATCATAAAATGGGAAATCCAATTTTATTAGACACCATATGAGTAGATCTACACAGTAAATATATAATATGGTATGTTTTAGTACAAATTTCTTATTATAGTTTTAGATATATATTTTTTTGTAATTAATTCATAGTTGTAGTTTCTATGGTCCGATTGTAGTAAAATGTTTATGGTGGTCTAATTATTGTATGCTTTAACTATAATAAAAATTTCATACTCGTTTCTATTTTTACACATTTTTAACTATTTTAAAACTATTTAACAAGCATAAAACTAAATAAATCTATAACTCAGTTATACATGATTCAATGAGCATAAAATTTTTACTAGATTTAAATCATATAGTAATTAGCCCAACATAAAAATTCACCACAATTGGACCATAGAAACTATAACTTTGAATTTATTAAAAAAAACATAGATCTAAAGCTACAGTAAAAACTTTGTACTAAAGCATACCATATTATATATTCACTGTGTAGATCTACTCACGTGGAGTCCAAAAAAATTAGATTTTCTATTTTATGATTTTTCTATGATTTACTATGATTTTTCAAAAGTTTAGCCGAAATAAATAAAAAAAGAAAAAGACAAAACCGTCTTTGAAAACCACCTATAACTAAGTCGGGGTAAAATGAACAATTTTAAAAAGTTGAGGAAGGTGGTTTATGTAACACCCCGGTGTTATGCCAGCATTTAGGCACTGCAAATCATGCATATCATGCATCATCAAGCATCCTAATCATACATGCCTAATCATGTAAATAACAACTGAAACACTACTTCGAAACATGTTCGTTAAACCTGAATGTTGCATACACTTGTTAGAGTTATTTTTGCCCTGATTATGTTTGCTAGGCTAGTAAAACATGTTTGGCTACTATTGTAAATCATCTAGGATTATTTAGTTTAATTTTTGGAGCAAGGTTTGTATTCAAATTAATTCAAAAGTTTGCTTCAAAAATAATTCCCCAAAAATTAGGGTTTTGAGTTAAACATTGACTTTGATTTTGTAATTCAAAATCTATCAAGAATTTGGCTTTGGTCATAAAAGCAAAGTTGTAGAGAATTAAATTCTAAGCAACTTTCATTTTTGGACTATTTTCAAAAGAAGTCATTTCCTTGCTCAAAAGGGTATTTGAAAACTGATATTTGAAATTTCCTTGAAATCAGAAAATTGGAAAATATTTTCTCTTTTCAGGAACATTGCTTTTCTTATTACTTGGCCAAAGCCGACCTTGCGAGAGCCTCCAGCCTCCCGCTTTGCGTGCCTCGCCAGCCCAGGCTTTGGACGCCTCGACACCCGGACGGATCCCTCAAATTCGCCGCTCGCCTCGCGCGACTTGCATGACGAAAGCCGCCTCACATGCCGCCAGCGTGCGGCTTATATGCTGTCGACGCCGCTATTAGTATTGCTTTTTGCCGCCCAGCGTCATAAGTCGGCTGCGCCCATATCGCCCGCCTCGCGCCTGGCTTACCTTTTAATATTCAAACTGCCACTTTTCACTTTCACTCTCCGCTTTTCTCCTCTCCTCTCCCTTGCCGCCGAGCTCACCCACTCTCCTCCTCGCCACCCACACGCCTTGCACCACCGCCAAAATTCGCCGCTTCTCCTCCACCTCGGCCAAGCAATCGTGTGCCCGTAGCTCCGCCTCGCTCTCCGACACGTGGTGCTCACGCTTGTGCCGACCGTCGAGCTCAGTGCGCCTTTCTCGCGCCTCGCCACCGTCGGCCGGGCGTGGCGTCGCCGCCATGCTTTCGCCACCGTGGAAGGCGCCCTTCTGCTTCTTCTCCACCACTTAGCTACCTTCCCGCCATTCTTTCTCGCGAACCGCATCGCCTAGCTCGCTTCGTCATGGCCACCGGCGGCAATGGCCAAAGCGGTCTCATTGCCCTTCGCCTCGGCGAAGCCATGGGCCGAAGAGAGCCATGGGCCTTGCGCCGGCCGCCTCCCCTTCTCTTCGCTCGGGCCAAGCCATGTAGCAAGTGTGGCGATGGGTGGTGATTCCATGGGCTACCCAAGAGTAATAGGAGAATTCGTTTTCAATTTTTCTTTATTATTTGAAAATAGAAATGGCTTGGAAAATGTTTGGATACTCAAATTTGCTCCAAATCCGTTGAAATAAATTTTTCTAGGTTCTTTATCATCGATCTACTTGAAAAAA